CTTAGCACGTCTGTATTTTCTCCTTGCAATTTAGTGATAAAAAACACAGTGAATATACCTTTTCACTTTTTGAAGTACACATAACACTCGGATTTAAATCCGAGGTTTTCGCATTTATTTAGAATCAATTTCGGTACTTCAACATGGATAAAATTTCTATCGTCTTATTAGAATCTTCATCGTTTCAAGAAGCTATTAATTTCATCGAAGATTTCATCGAAAACGATCAATTGATAGTTTGTTATGCACATATGTGTATCAAAGAATTACTATGTGAAAATATTTTCGATAAAAAGACATCAATGAAATATATAACAGAAATAAGAAAGTTTTTAATAGATTTGGTACCACAGCTGAATTTTTCGTTAAAAGAATTAAAAGACGAATATTCAATATTTCACGGAAACAAAAATTTACCAAATCCATCGCAAGATAGTATTTATTGTGCTAGCTCATTAATCCAAGGGATCAAAGAAATGGAAAGTTCAAGAAATGAATATGGGACATTAATACTTCACAAATGCACATTTTTTCTATTTATCAAAACGTTACATGAATTAGCACATGCGTGCTTATTCGACGCTTGTCGACGATTCATGGTCAATGAAAAGGATGAAACAATAAAATTTAACACACCAGCCACTCATGCTTTAACTGCAGAAAGTGGAAATGCAATTGAACGTTATCTTTGTGGTTCAATTGTTGACGCGACAGGCTATATGATAACAGAAAATAATACGGATATTTATGTTGTCAGTGAAATCTATTTATTGGAAACTAAACCATCACGTGTTATTAGGAATGAATCTATCAATTTATTCTTCAAATCGGATATAAGAACAGTGGAACGAATACCTGAATTAGCTGGTACTATTATTACATGCCAAAGTTTGAAGAAGCTTTCAGCGAAAAAAAAAAGAAAATTTGCAAAATCATCTAATCGATACAATGATGAATCAGAAACAAGTGACAAAGATATTCGTTTGAATGTACATCAAACAGAACTTGATTTTATATGTAAAGCCTAAGAGTAATTATCTGAAAAACTCAGACGTTGACGATGGAAAAATGTCTTAGAGTTTCCTGATTTTTTTATATGCTGTAAATAGTGATGAGTTTATAGTGATTTTTGAAATTTTTAGCTGGATCAGATCACTTTTTCCAATATCATTATTTAAAATACTAATGAAATTTTTAATAATAAGTATTTTTGTGATTTTTTTAATCGTTTGTTGTAAATTTTCTTCAAAAACATGACTTTTGTCTTTTGAAACGAAAGAATTTTGACTTTATGTTTTTTTAATCATAGTGATTAGTGATTTCTACTAATACGTAAGAAATTTCGGAAATTTTCATTGATTAATCATGAAATATATTGAAACCCAAAACCAGGTCCTATTTTTCTCTTTTTAATGTTTTATTACCAAAATTTCAATCAAGTGCGTTTTATGCGACAACAATGGAATCCATTGATATATTCACCAGATATAGAGCTCAAAAACTTCTATCGTCTCATATATTTAGCAATTTTGTATCATGCGAAAATCAATTATTATCAAAATTGTCTTGTCCTTATAATTCATAAGACATGTTGGAAGATGCCTGCACCTTCCAACATGTCTTATGAATTTTGAAAATTTGCAAGAAACGATTAAAGAGATCAGAAAATACTTATTATTAAAAATTTCATTAATATTTTAAATAATGATATTGGAAAAGTGATCAGATCCAGCTAAAAATTTCAAAGATCACTGAACTCATCACCATTGACAGCATATAAAAATATCAAGGAATGCTGAGATATTACTCCGTCATCGATCCACCGAAATAACTAATTTTCTTAAACGTTTATTGTTAAGCGAGTTCTTTTTGTTTTTGCCTATACAGGTTTCGTTTACTATTATTTGCTCTCTTGTTACTCTTGTTCTGTTTTTAGTGTCATATTTCATTTGTTGGATAAATAAATAAAAAGTTCAACGAGCTATGAGCCTTGTTTCTTACTTATATAGTTCTTGTTTTGTTACTTGAAATCGAATTCAAACAAAAATAGTCAAATCAGGTCTTGAAAGGGATGAAAATATTCTTTTGCATACCCCTATCGTCAGGGCTGTTGCAAGTGAGTGATGGAGGGGCATGCTCCCAGAGTCGTTGAAAATTTTCGTTTTTCTACAACCAAGTTTATTGAATTTACCGACGATACTCCTTAAATTGGTTCAGCTTGCGATGGATGCACCGACACCCTCAATATACGAGAAAAAATAATTCATTCGCTGTACTGAATCATCATTTAAAATAGAAAATAAGTGGCACGAACATTATGAAAGAACAAGCAGTATATTAAGGATCGATTTTTTATAAGACTAAAAATCAAGTTATATCATACCAAAAACAAATTAGTTTTGAAAAACGCTTTGCTAGTGCATCTTGAGTTATCTGAGATATTTGTCTACTACCCTACATAAAGCCTGCTTAAACCTAGATATACCTATATAAGTGTATCGAGGGTCGATACCCACTACTTGTGGTTTTCGAGTTTCTTTTTATACTACTATTCGTTCATTTGAGAAGAGAAATGTTCCGAAAACTTGTTACACTAGGTGTGGGTAGATACGAATGTGGGTGTAGATATGTGGGTACGCGTATAGCTGGTATATGTTTACACCTACACCCGAACCCATCCTCATCAAATTTAGATAGGTTGACAGATCTAATAACTCAAGAAATTCTAAGAAACATTGGAGGATCTTCAAAATTATATGTTCTAGTTGAAGGCTACCGAAATAAATATGAGAGAAATTATATATAGAAAAAATGCACTTTTACAGAAATATTTTATTATTGACTTCATAGATGACGAGATGAGGCATTCCATATGTTTGTCTTTTTTTTTAATTTTTGTTTTTCAATCATATTTATGTTTCGTTTTATTAATCGACTGTGTTTGTGATCCTACTTGTGAAGTGTTTTCGTTCATATGTAATCATATTTCGTTTTACTCTAGCATAAATATTCATTAAATAAAAATAAACTTGCCGTAAACTTTTTCAAGTTGTGGGAAGGGTCATAAAAAGCAAGAAATCACAATACTGTTGAAGGTTCGAACGGAAATTAAAATAGAACTGAAATAATTGATATTATTTTCGTATATTTCCCTTGAACAAATTCATTAATTGTTTCGAAACCAAAATAATCTTTAAATAGCTGTAGAAAATAAGTTTTAAAATATGTTCGTAATCATTGATTATTCATTAAATATCAATGAATATCATATGAATATGATGTTATGAATAAAATGATTTCTTGCTTTATGTGATCGTAATAATGTTATATTTATGTAAATGTTAAATGTATGGAATACAAGTATACATATGAATTTTTCTTCTTCTTAACCATATCTGCAAAAGAAATAAACAAACTATATTTATCTAATGCCTAGAAGAATGAATATTAATTCAATAGGTCTAAATAGAATATCATGCAATATTTTTCAAATGACGTTATTCATAACTGACTGTAACAATCATACCAGGCCGAATTTTTTTATTTGGATCATATAAAGTCAAGTTTATTATTTACTGACTGATTCTGATTAGAATTAGTATGCTAGTTCGAAAACGTTTTCTTAAACTGTAAACTTTGATAACTAATTCTACAATGAAACATTTTAATTTGAAGACCAACTCCTATTGCATGTCTTGATTTTCACCGTTTTAAATGAATCTTTTCCTAAACAGAATTGTGAACGTATTAATTCAGTGTATCCTACCTTGAATGAAGGTGGTGCGTATTAATAATAACGAATTTTTTCATGGATTCTCGTTTCACATTAATAGGGAAGGTTCGCAGTACTGTCCAACTTTGAAAGTTTCAGTGAACTCAAAAGATCCTATCTGCTTTTTATGATAGATGAGAAAAAAATACATAACAGAAATAGAAATGACTATTTATGAAATTCAGTTCGGTATGATTTAGTAGGGTGTGAGTGTGGATAGGGATGCAACGGTGACGATAACCGTAGGTACAGTTATTCGTTCAAACCCATTGTCAAGAAAAGGTCTTTTTTAAGAAAATAACGATATTTTATAAAGGTTGACGAATGTAAATCGGGGTCGAGGAATACGAATCTGAAGTCAGCTTTTTAAAATTTCGAGTCTTAGCTTTTCACATATGGTGTTTTTCAGGGAGAAAGTTTTCTAGAAGAAAAGACGACTTTCAACGAGTAGTTTAGACTTGAGAAGAGAAAGTTGTAAAGTTCAAGGATCTGATATTAGACAAGGATTCTTCAACCGATTTCCATTCTTCAGTCTTTATAAATAATCATTATTTTTTTTAAAAACTCTTTCCTTTGTCGAAAACATTGAATCCATAGTTTTTAAAAACTGACTTCAGATTCGGATTCCTCGACCCCAATTTACATTCGTCAACCTTTATAAAATATCGTTATTTTCTTAAAAAAAGACTGTTTTTCTTGACAATGGGTTTGAACTAATAACTGTACTGCTATGGCACATACCTTAGATGTGGCATAAGAAACATGTCATGTATCATCCATATATATTCGTTCTTTCCTTTCGGTTTACGCATATATGGACAACTATATCAGGGTTGCCAACCGAACCCCATTTTGGGGTACAGCACCCCATTTTGACCTTTTGTACCCCAAGAAAATTTGTACCCCTGGGGTACGCGTTTTGTACCCCAGTTGGGCGTTTTCTTTTTACACTATCCAATAATTGAAAATTGTGATACGGAGGATGCGGGACAACATGACGTTTTACGGAAATTTGGTAAAACTACGTACTTTTTGCCAAAATCTGGAGTTAAAGGATGCTTTCCAAGAGAAAATTGTGCAGAAACTTAAAAAAAAGTGTCGCTTCATAAAATAGTAACAGCTGCGTAAGCGTGTGTGGCCGCGTTCTGCGGCAAAAGCATGAGAACCTTTCAAATTCAATGCGAAGACATATTTTCTTAAAAAGCTGCAAGATAAAGTCGATTTTTTTTGAAAAGACTGCACAAAAGTTTTTGCTTCGCGAAAAATTGTCAAATTTTAGATGGCAGAAAAAATGAACAGTAGCTCAAGTGCGAAAAAAATATTGATTCTCCAACCCTGCTAACCTTGAGAAACCCGTGGAAATCAGTGAAAATTTCGGCTTTGACTAGTGTCTGTTTTGTACAGAAACGAAGTATTAATCATACTGGCTGACTGGTGACCAATGAATGGGGCCACTGTTGCTTAGACTTGTCTTTTCTTTTTGACTTCTCAACCTCACGTTCGAAGTCAAATTGAGTTCTTAATCAATTTTTGGCTATTTCTCTCGTTTTCGAATATTTCTGTTTACCCTTTTTGCTTGTTCAAAAGACCGAAAAATCATTGTAGATTTTTATTTTTGAACACATGAGCAATGACAATTCAATCCATTCAGACGTTGAAATCATAAAAGAAAACAGCGCCAGTTGAGCTCGGATCCGAAAAGATGCTGTTGCCAACCGTTCTCTCCCGTCATATTTTTTACTTTAAAAAAATTTGTACCCCATGGGTGAACCCCATTCGGAAAAAAATTGTACCCCACGTGTACCCCATTTCAAACCTTTTGTACCCCATTCGGGACCTGACCAATTGGCAACTCTGAACTATATCTATCTTTTTTTCGTTCTGTTAAACATTTCATTGAATGTGTTCTTTTGTTTTCTTGCTATAACGTTTGTTCTCTTTTCTTTTCTGAAAGAACTCTTGTTCGTTTTCTTCAATCTCTATTATCTTTTTCTTCTTTCTTGTAGAAGTCAAAACAACATTGTTTTGACCTTTAGCTAGAAGTTATTGCGTAGTTACTAATGTCTATCAACATTATATACATATATATATATATAGATAGATATACATATATAGAGAGATAAATATATATATATGTACAAGATAGATGTATACGCGAGGGTGGATGATTGAAGGTGTTTTCTTTTTGCTATTGTTTTTGAATAGATATCCATTAAAAACTAGGTAACATTTGCTGTACTTGCGGAAGTGAAGAAA